CTACTTTAGATTCTTTGTTTCATTTAGGGCATCTTTAAAGAAGCAAGCACTACTACATCAAAGTGCCTTATGGCTTCAATCGCTTTGAAACCACTTCTTTAAGTAGAATGCTTAGATGTTTTGAAACGATGACCCCTCCAATCGCTTTGCTTCATCACTTAAGATTGCTTTGGACAATAATACATGAATATATCATTTTAAATTATAAACATCTTTATAGCAGCACCGAGCCCTTCGAGTCAAGTGGCAAAAGCCACCTACAGTGCATTCCCCTCCCTAAGCTGGGGTTCCAACCCAGCCCTTTTAAAATCTATTCAAAAAAAACATCTCTATAGCAAAACTGATAAGTACCGTAGTTATGTTGGTTTTGCCCTTAAGTATAGCATTTTTTTTTTTTGCAATTTATCCATGTGAATTCAAAACTAATTTAAATTCAAGATAAAAGAGAATTATTATTGAGTTAATTAGTTCATGACTATTTGTATAATTACGAAGATATAAAAATATTCATTTTAAATCAATTTAATTATAATAAATTAATCATTTTCACGGTCCATACCTGTGGTGGTGAAAGCAATTCTAGAGGCACAACACCAAAACAAGCTATAGGGGCTCAATTGTCAATGGTGAATAAATTTGAGGCTTATTTTGATTTCTATTTTCCTATTTCTAAGGTTCTGTTTGGCGGTTTATTGGAACACAATTCCGGCAATTATCCATTCAGTGAGCTGGCCGGGTCTCTCGGAGAGGATGAAGTCTTGCTGTTTGGTTCCCCCTGGAACCGTGTTATTGTTTCTCAATCCGACCTCCAGAATTCCATTCTTCCGCTTCAGAGTTTGTGCTTGGACCTCAGCTTCTCCCAGTCGAAACCATCCGACACTTTTGGCTTCCATTTCACGGCCTCAAGGGAAGAAGGTCGGGCAGTGCAAATGTGCATTTCCGCCGCAATGCTACGGCGGCGGTGATGATTTCCTGGTGGTGAACTTTTATCGGTTTGTCATGATTAAAGAGCCTGAAGAAGAAATCGCGAAACACCTCGACTTCTTGAAGGTTTCATCCTTTATTACATCATATTCGCTGAAATTTCCTGTTGTTTATGTTTTATGCTAAGAATTAGTTACTGTAATTTTGCAATTTAGAGTTGGAAAATCTTGTTGTGAATGCCAAATTCTTCTTCCTTGGTAGGATAAGACGTGTATCTCCCATATAATTACTTGCTAGAGGTAATGTGATATATATAAGATGTTCTTGGTAAATTGCCTATCTGAATTTTTGGGAAGAAAGTAAGTTGTTTATCTGATTATTCTACTAATTCATATTTTACCATTTTTTAATCAGGATTATGACATACGTGGTCGGATATATATTAATGAACAAGGGATTAATGCACAGGTATTCTTGACTTCCTGCATTTTTTTTTTTTTTATCTGTGCATTTGATTGGTTTCCCATACTCTATTACAGTGCAACAATTCTGAAATGTGTTCCCTCTTGCATGGTCATGCATGAAAATATGTTTGACATAAATCTGTCATGCTATGTGTTTTTTTAGAAAGCACCTTATTGCAACAATTATTATTATTATTATTATTATTATCATCATCATCATCATCGTCATCATCATTATTATTATTTTGTGCTACTATTGTTCAGTGGGGGGTGAAAAAGCAAACTCTAATGCAAAAATTTGCTATTCATTTTCATGTGAGATGTTTTTACATAGTAATTTACCAGTGACTATTTTGTTATGACATGTATCTTTGACAATTTGCTAGCTTAGAGAAGGAGTTATCAATACAATTATACTTATTTGACGTAATTAGTCTCATTGTTAGAATAGATGGCAAGCCTAATCCTAGCTTTATTTGGTGATTAGGGCTCAAAGAGTAAATAGGCAGTCGTGACTGTGATTGAGTTGAAGCACTTGAACATCTTGAACATTAAAAATAGATAGTTATAGTACAGAGCAGTCTGTGCTAGAACATGAACATATTGATCTGTGATAGCATGTTATCTTAATAGCTCAATTTGCATTTTTGTTACTTTGTATGTGCTTGCTTGAATCATCATTGTAATAGTTTTGTAAACATCCAACTTAAAGCCAATTGATGATTGGTGGAGTAGTCTAAATTGTATTTAAGTTCAAATGTTTCCCCTTCACCAACAAATGTGGGTTTTTTCCCTCTTAACACCTGGTTTGTCACATGGTCTCACAACCACAACCCACCAGCCCTTGACAACTTCTGCAGCAACCATCCTTTTGGTCGCACTCACAACTGGCCTACACACTAAACAGGCTAACCATCTTTGGGTTCTGATATCATGTAAACATCTAGCCTAAAACCAATTTGCAAGAGTTGGAGTAGTCCATCTTGTATTTAAGTTAGAGGTTTTCCCTTAATTCACGAATGTGGAAATTTTCCCGTGCAGCATCTACATACTACTAATCTTCCCTGAGCTGGTTTTTCTTTCTGCAGTACAGTGGTCCATCAAAAGATGCTCTGGCATATATTGAATGGTTAAGAGATAATGAAAGATTTTCGGATGTACTAGTTCAGACATCTCCAGCATTAAATGGACATGCTTTTCCAAAATTGAAACTGAGATATAAGCTGTCATTAGTACAAGTAAGCAATGTAGTTGTGATTCTTGTTTTATTATGCTTTCTCATTTTAATTTAACATGATAATTCTTAATTCAATTAATTCATTATTTTATGGGACTTGACTCATTAGTCTGTTGTGATATCATTTTTATCCATCATTAAATTATTCTTGTGTTGGTGAAAGTTTGTTTGTTTCCCTATTTCTCCCTAAACGATAAGTCCTACATGTTGTTTACTATCTTGCTAGAAGTTTCTTTTAAATAATCATTTTGACTTTACATTTGGTTGGCAGAATTAAAAACAGTTAAATTGATTATATATGCTTCGAGGAATGAAATGGCAATCAGAATACATATCTGCACTGATGTTTGGTTCAAAGAGTAAATATTCTAATTTTGGCTACACGATTTTACGTGCAAGGTTTTAAGTTTAATCAGTCATCATTAATAGCCTGTTTGGTTTGAGGGAAGGGGAGAGGAGGGGAGGGGAGGGGAGGGAGTCTTATTACCTTATTTTGACAAATTAAATTAAGTCATTGGGCCAATGAAATAATTTGATTGGTTATAATAATTTTCTCTGCCCTACCCTCAAACCAAACAGGCTATAAGCTTGGTTAGCAGAATTGAACACAGTTAAAACACAGACACTGGAGGCAATGCAGGAGTACCAATATCTCTGTAAATTTTTAGAACTAATCTAAAACAACTTCATAAATTAAAAACGCAGAAAACAGCAGTAGCAAGAAACTTACATGTTCTGAAGAAATGGCAGAAGACCTGGCATTGAAGAACTAGTCAACAGACATAAACAAGAATTTGCTGTAAAAAATATAATTTTAATTAAGAGATTGCAAGAAGTTCTCGGCCATTAGTAACCAATAGCCATCACAGAACTGAAAGAACAACATATGGTTTCACTAGATAATCATCAACAGAAATCCCAACTAAAAGTAGAAGAGACTAGAGAGAATGGCATTTCCTAAATAGCTGTGAGCTAAGTAAGTCAATAAGTGAATATGTGTATAACTGATGAGAGGCAAAAGAAAGTGAATGAACAATGAAGAAAACCATATTAGAGAGTGGAATAGAAAAATAGAATTTCAATTTCAGAGTGAGGGAGGGGAAGGGGGGAATGCTTTCAAAATATCAACCAACTTGTCATAACAACTTTCTCTATCTATTATTATGCCACTGCTACCAGATGAAGTTGTCATTGGCTCTAAAAATACCACTATTTTTACGTTACCACCCAGGTTTGCTGCCACTGCCACCAATATACCATCAGTTCATTACAAATTTACCATTAGGTTCTTCCTTTTTTTGTTTAGTCTTTGTATTGTAATGTTGTAGCTATAACATTTACCCAAATCTGACTGCAAAATCTAATGATTTTGGTGCCACGTCCTATCACTGGTGCAGTAACTTTTTTCATTTCTGCTGCCATCAGAACATTTCTATTTCCACCTATCTCTTTGTTTGTTAGTATAATTACTAAAGTATCAAAATTTTAAAAATTATTGATTCAAAGCATGTGTTTAACTCTGGATTAAGTTATTGTCAGACTTTCAGTCTTCATCAATCATGAAGTATTTTATGCATTTTGCCTGCCTTGGAATATTTCAGAATGTTTCATCTGTGACATCGTCTACTAATTATTTTTTCTCCAGTTAGAAGAAGATGTCTCAAACCTTCCCTTGCTAGATCCAACAATGGGAGCCACACCTTTAGAACCATCTGAATGGAGAAGAAGATTGGAAGCAGTAAACAGAATTGATAGAGATTCAGATTTAACTCAAAAAGACTACATTCTATTGGATGTGAGAAATGGTAATGTGGTACTTAAGTGTTTCCTTTAAACTATTTGTCTGAATTTTCTTACATGAAATTTGGATATCTCATTAATATTTCATAAGTTACTGCAGATTTTATTTTCTTTTTGGTTTTATTGTCAAGTAAGCAACTTATAAATTTTGAAGATTGATTTTTTTTTTTTTGGGTATTATTGAAGATTGGATTTCAAAGACTGGCTTATTGTATTAGTTTCCTAATATTTAGATACTAGCACAATATTCCATCCATGAGGATGAGCATTAAATTTCTGAATCTATCAAATAGATTTTTATGAGTGATAGGGTGGTATCTGAAAGCGTCATAAATATTTCCTTTAGGAATGTTAATGATTTAAGAAAAGAAAGAGGAAAAAGAAATTATGTATCTCAAGTAACATTACCAGCAGAAAGAAATTATTGTTTCTTTTCTTACTTTATCTGTTGACAAATTTGGGTAAAGTCTCTGGCATACATGATGCATATAATGCAGTAGAACTCCCAAATCCGCCACTCAAATAGGAGGACAGAGACAGATCTGCCTCTCAAAAAAAAGTAGGGATAAATTGCCCCTCCAAATTATTGATCAAGGCAAATAACCCATTATTTAACATATGACGTCATCACATGTTAGAAATTCGCTTACCACCTAAGCATGCTTTTAACAGAAAATTGATGTGTGATGACGTCAAATGTTAAATAATGGGTGATTTGTTTTAATCAATAATTTAGAAGGGCAATTTTTCCCTGCTTTTTTTTGAGGGGCAAATCTATCCCTCCCCTCCTATTTGAGGGGCAGATTTGGGGGTTTCGCCCATATATGCTCCTTTAGAGGATAAAACAAAGGGGTGGTTTAAGCCTCATTGGTCCTTCTCTCAACATTGTATGTGTGTACTTGTGTTCCATTGTGCTTTCAAAAAAGGATAATGGTGGTATGGTATTACTTTTTCTTTTTTCTTTGTTAGGTTTCACATAAACCCCATCCAACTTGCGGAAGTCTTTGTCTGAAATATATTTGGTGGCCAAAGTCTGAAACATTAATGTTGGGAGAGAAAGGAGACTAAGAAAAGGAGTGTGCAACAAAAAATTAATAGGCTTCCATTTCTCATATACCAGTAGTCATATATTCATAATTGATTGAAAGAAGAATGGATTAGGCACTGTGGTTCAACTTGTAAGGCTAAATGTGACAGGTTTGAAAGATTGATGCATGATGGGGAAAAGAGGTTTGGGAATTCAAGATGTTATTGCTAATGAATTTTTCAAATACTCAGATCTACAAGATGTGAAACTAATTTGGAATGTGTTATGAGTTTGAGAAAAGATGTAGAAGATGTTCATGTCAGCTTGGATAGAGAAATCCATTTTCCTCATATCAATAATTAGAGAGAGGCAGTGGAAGGATTGAATTTGTGGTACTCAGTACTTAAAAGTCTGACACTTGATTGCCCAAGAGCTTTCTCTGGACTCTCCTTAATATACTTTATACATTGTTGCATAGTTAAAGAGAGGGTTTGGTAAGATAAGAAACCATGTGGGCTGGTCCAGCTGGAGCTTAGCTTGTACATCGTACATTGCCAACCAAAGTGAATAAGAAATTAAAATTTTTGAAGATAACCATTGTAATGAATACTTGTCAAATGAGTTTCTTGGAAGTGATTCTGATGGACTAGGTCTTGTATGTTGGATGTGGAGCCATGTCTTGAGTGTTTCTTTGCCACAAATTATGGGCATGATCAAGATGACAAAAAATGATCGCAAGTTTTATGCTTCATGATAACAACTATAAATGTATCTTCTTTTCCCTTTTTTGGCCAGAACTAGAAATGATTATTCATTTTAAATTTTTTGTAGTTTATTCTTGTTATTCCTCCCATAGAGATTAAACACATTGAAATCCCTTGTAATTAGGTTATGAGTGGGACATTGGTCATTTCCATGGGGCAGAACGACCTAATGTGGACTGCTTTAGGAGCACTTCATTTGGGCTATCTGTCAGTGAGGTAAGCTGCTGCCATATTGATATTCTATTGACTATAACTTTAGATGACACTTAGTATAGTGTGATATGAAAAATATCACCACTGATCTTGATTTAGGTGATATGATCATTAAATGGGTTGGCTGTAAGGATCTTTTGTGGTAGTGATTCAAGATCACTGCCCCCAAAGGTAGTCCAAGATTACTCTACATAGTGTTCTAAAAAGAATTTTGGAGGCAATAATGCCTGCGTTATTATCATGCCTTAGGAGAATAATCCTTCTCCAAAGAAACTCATTCAACTCTTGTTTACTCATAACACACTCCATTGGCCTCTCTAGCAATGTTGGTCACTTGTGAACAAAGGTTGCACCAAATACAACTTATTGACTCTAAGTCAGGAAAATTTGGTGACATAGACAAAAGGAATCCAAGGAAAAATCATTAACAGTGAAAAGATTTCACAACTGGGCACCACTTGGAAGTATGCAATAAAGTTGGGGAGTGCAGCAGGTAAGAAATTTTTTTAATTTGTGAGTAAGTGCTTAAGTGTGGCTTGTGGGTTGTATGTTATTGTTTCAGTCCAGATTCTTGGTCTACTTCCTTTTGTCTAAAGTTTGGGTCCTTTTTGAGGAACTTGTTGAGTAAGTGCAAGAAACCCCATTGTCTATTGATGGGTAGATAGTATGTCATGTAGTTACAGCTGAAAGCAAAATACTGTCCATGCAGAATGGGACTTGCATGAATTGGCTAAATAGAGTCAGTGTTTCTTATATTTGGATACTGTGTTTTAGGGGATCAGTAGTTTAGAGATATTGCAAACTCTAGGAAAGGAGAATATTTTCCTTCATAAGGAAAATCAGGGAAAACATGTTCTGTGGGTCTGTGACTGGAAAATATTAGAAAATAGCTCATATAAGGCTGTGGATGATGGAACCATGTAAAACATATTGCTTCTCCAATAATTTTCATCCTTAACAGCATCAGAGAGCAGTGTTGCAAGGCCCTGTCTAGGCACTAGGCAGTGGAGGTAGGCATTTCTTCTTCTTTTGTCTTTTTTAGATTTTTGATTTATTTTGGCATTTTTTTCCAGAAAAGGAAAAGGCCTAGAGTGCTTAGTAGTTCCTCTCTAGGTGCTAGTGCTGTAACACTTTTCGAGAGTCTCTTAATTGTTGATATGATTGATTTCTAAGCTTTTTGTTTTGCCTTGATTAGTAGAGAAATGGCGGTGGATGGCAAGAAAATCAAGTAATATGCATTGATCCTATTGTCATTGTCTGGTCGAACAAAGTCTTGGGATGAAAGTGCAAGTGCAAGTGAAAGGGTTCAAGTGTTGAAAGTTACTCAAGGGTAAAATGTGAGAGAGATAGGATCTTCTTTTACACGTCTTACAAAAAACCATAGCCATTCATTTTCTACTATGATGAAAAGACAATTAACTTAAAAAAAAAAATGGGTTGATAAATTTCAGTCATTCATGGTAGAGAAATAAACTATTAGGATTTTGTACAAGAGTTATGTGTTAAACTTATGTATAAATTGATATATATATATATATATCGTAAGGATTCAATAACACACAAGCTTTACACACACACGCATATATATGTAAGGAGGGATCCATTCATATACAAGTTTTATGCACCACATTTACACAAAATCTCAACCATTCATCTCTCCACTTTCAATGGTTGAGATTTGTCATGACTTTTTAGATGAAAAAGATAATTGTCTTTAATAAATGCGAATAAATATCTAGGATCTACTTACACACAAGTCTTACACACCACATTTACACAAAATTTTGACCATTCATATTCATGTTTTATACTCTAGACGTGCTTTTTGCCTGATGCTTTAGGAATTTACTAAAATATCCTTAATAAAATAACATAAGAAAGAGTTTCATTAAGAGTATTTTAGTAAATTCATAAGGTATACTGCACTTCATGTATATAAATATATATATATATATATACATACTTGGACATCTCTAAAAACATCATATTTTAATTAGTACTTTTAAACAGAAACTGTTGGATTAAAAATTTTAGTCATGTAGATTATGCATGTTGATTTTCATATTGATCTAATATACCTAACCAGTTCGTTGATTATAGGAAATTTAACACTGTTAAATATATGCCAATAAATAAAGTTTCTTTGATCAAAGGGTTATAAATGTTAGATCAACTTCAAAATCGACATATATGAGCTACATGAATAGAATATTTCATCCATGGTTAGTTGATCTACAAGGTGAGTTTTTAAGCAAGTCCGCCAAAACATAATTTGAGAGGACAAGTTGCTTTACACCAATCTCTCTCTCTCTCTCTCTCTCTCTCTCTCTCTTTATAAATATATATTCAGTGGCAGAACCACAAAGGGGAAGGGTTTGGCACATGCCCCACCCTTCCCGTTAAAACCAATGAAAAAAGAAAAGCCCATAGAGAAAAGGCCCTACCTTGAAATGGACATTAATAGTTAATTTAGGCACTAACTTTCTCCAATTTAATAATTGAAGACACAAACTTTAGTTGCTCTTAATTGAGGATATCAATTCTTGCATTTTTATGTCCATTAGTGGATTTCAATATTTGATTATGTGTTAATTATTTACTTAAGAAAACTTCATTACTTACCCTATAATTAGTATAACTAACAATTTTACAATATTAAAAAATTAAAATTTTAAAATACACTTATTCGTCTTCGTTTTCCACCCATCATAGCCATTGATAGCAAGCTTTGAAGAATTTGCCAATAAATCAATGCGAAGAAATCCAAACGATGCACAAATAACAACCAGTAAGAAATCAAATTGGATTAACACAACTAATATTAATAAGATGGTCATAATTTTAGATTTAAAGAAAAAGGTTTGTGTATTGTTTGAGAAATAATGCTCTCTATTCAAATTCTCAAGCATAAATTAAAAATTGGTAAAAAAAAAAAAAAATCCATACTTCAAACAATTGTACCTTATAAATGAGTTCATAAAACTCTTTAAAATCTTTCAAATATATTTACTATCTAACATGCGATTATTGGAGAAGTCATGGGCTTTGTAAACATTAAGCTGAAGAACTCATCACTTTGGAGAATCACTAACAATAATAAAAAGATCATAGGCAAGACAACTAGACAGGTAAGATGCATCAAGGCTAGTAGAGGAGTGAGAAAACATAGGAAATAATTACCATTATTTGCTAATTATTTTTATTTCTTTTTTATTGATATTTTTTCAAATAAGTAGAGTAGTGAGGATACTAACAAAAAATTTAAAATTTTTGTCTAATTGTTACTAGGCCCTACCCTGTATGGAATTCTGGTTCTGCCTCTAATATATATACACATATATTTATATATACATATATACATATATATATGCATGTATGTTTGTATGGATGTCAGTATGTGTGTTTGTAAGTATGTATGTATCACCCTACCAAGACCCTGTTTATGTGGGATTATAACTGCACAGTGACACTTGTATAAACATGGAAGAATATTAACATGTCAATGGTGCAAGCTATCAACAGTCTCTAATGGCCAACCTGTCATAAGAGTGCATCTGAACCAAATATTTTTTTGGCCATCAAACGGATAGCATCTGAACCAAATCAGTATGTGATTTTTCAATTGGAAATATTATTGGAGAGAATTGCCTTGGCTGTGTCGAGACATTTGCTTTGTTTGGATATGTAATGAAAATTGTGAAAACTAAATTTGTGTAATTACTTTTCTGATTTTGGTTCTAACTTTAACTTTTAATCTTTTTAAAGTTCTGTTTCTTTAAGGATGGATATGTGTGCTCTCAACTTTTTCTCTCTCCCTACATTTGCAGGTCTCTGCTTCAGATCCCTTGGCAACAGCTGATAAAGGAAAAACTAATATTTTGATGTATTGTACTGGTGGTATTCGCTGTGATGTATATTCTACAATTTTAAGGTAGTCTGTTTCTTTTCATTTTCTTAACTATAACAGTTTCTCTTTGCAACTAGAATTAAACTGTCAATCTAGATTTCATTTTGATTAGTGCTTTCAGGTTTTTAATCTCTAATTTTATCCATCCAATAACTGTTCTTCTTTGGAATCATTCAGTCTCCCAACTTCTTAGCAATTTTACTGAGAATTTCTGATAAACATTTTCAATCAACAATTTGGAAACTATTAAACATGTAAGCATTATCATTACATAAAATAATCATGATCCAATCAAGTACATTAGGCAATAGAAAACTAAAGCACAGGTAAATACATGCTGGAAAATAGTATGAAACTCAAGTTATTGCATTCTTATGTTCCTTCTGCTTCCTGAGCACCCAGAAAATTGAAATAATGCAAGGATTATTAGCATGATGCCAACTTCTTATTAGAAAACAGGAAAGGAGAAAAAATGTTTGTGAAGCAGATGTTAGCATCTATAAATTAGTAGGCTCCATAATTTAGAAACGTGGCCAGTCAAACTTGGTTCAAAAATTATTCCCATTGAGTGTTTGATTTTGTGTGGCAGGCAACAAGGTTTCCAAAATTTGTACACTTTGAAGGGAGGTGTTTCTAATTATCTCAAGAATGAAGGTCCAGTAGAATGGGTTGGAAATTTGTTTGTATTTGACTCTCGTCTCTCTCTTCCACCTTCTGCCTACAACCCTGAAGCTACAACTGATGCCAGCAGCATACAACAAACTTCTCAGAAAAATAAATTTGCTAGATGCTACATTTGTGGTTCACAAGTTTCTGAGTTAAGGCATCGAAACTGTGCTAATCTTGACTGCAACCTTCTTTTTCTGTAAGTTTCAATTTCTTTTCTCAACATTGTTACTTTTTTGCTTTTCTCAACGTTGTCACTTTTTTGTTGTATGCTTTCTCCTTCTATGGTTGGTACATAGTGCATAACCAGCACTTAGATATGTAATTTCTGTTAGATGCTAGGGGGCATTATTGAGCTGAGTTGAGTCAATACAATGCCAAGCTCGTATTTGACTCAATTAAGTTATTTTTAAAAAGGACTTTGCCTGTTAACTTAATCCCCTTTGAATTGTCACTTTTCAAAAGGTCATGAACTGTGATTGCTATTCGCATACATTAGAATATATTGTGTTACAAGGTTTCTTTTCAATATTCTAATTGTGATAGTATTTATGGAATGAAGCATTGCTGAAACCAGAATTTCTTAAAGGGTCATGATCACAAGTAACTTTTAGGAACTAGAACTTTTAATTTGATTTGCACTAAAGAGTTGATCATCACTAGAAATATAGCTTGTGTCTCAACCCACATGGAAATATTTCTTTCAGCAACTTGTCTGGATCTAAATCCTAGTTTCTTCATTTCTCTTTATTGGTTTTAAACAAGCTTTGCCTCCCAAACTCCTTCAGAACCTAAACAGGATGCTGGTCTTAGTATGGCCATGGAAGGAGCCACCTTGTTCCACAAAAATTTCATACTTTAAAGCATCTATAAAATGTTGCATGTTGGAATGCTAAAAGCAGTAAAATACCCAAGTTCCACCGTTTTGATTCTTCTTCGGTAGACTGGCAAGACAACTTGATGGAATATTCAGGTTGGTGATCATAGTGTTCGAATTTTTATCTTTTCAACCATCTAACGAACAACATTGGCAATGATGAATACATAGCCACTCAGTTTTTTTTTTTTTGATCCGCAATACATAGCCACTCACTATTTTCCTGGAGTTTGTTGACTATCTGTGAGTTCAATTCATGTTGTCTTGGGGCAGTTGGTTGTGGTCCCTTCTACCCTCCACTTATTTATCTTCGGATTTGATAACTGTTGTTGTTGGAGCGAATACTTTGACCATTGTTTCAGATGCTGTATGGATTGTGTGAATGTTGTTGTTGAAGCTAATACTTTGACCATTGTTTCAGATGCTGTACGGAGTGTGTGAAGGATCTTAGAGGATGTTGCTCTCTTAATTGCATGAGTGCCCCTCGACTAAGGCCTGTTTTGCCTGGACATCAAAGATACAAGAAATGGTATATCTATCGAGATCTGGGAATGCATAACGAGCTGCAATGCTAGCTTTAAAGGTCAGCAGATCTTGTTTTGCCTTCAATATTAAATAGGAGGATATAGGTTTCTAGGTTTTGGGATAGAGGGAGCGTACTTGGACCTTCCCATTGTCTTGTTAACTGAAATTGACACAGTGGACAACAGGGTGTTGTGGATCCCACTCAATTCCCACCTTTCTAATCCCCACAATATGAGGGAAATTGTCAAGGGCTGAGTTAATTTTTATTTTAAATATAAGTAATTTTTTATATTAATTATTAATTTTTAGTTAGTAAAATTATAAAAATAAATTAAATTTTATTTATATTTTTTCTTTAAATTATGGAATTAAATAAAAAATAATCCTTCACTCCCTATTTATTTGTTTATTAATTGAAAACTACTGGGCATAGTATGTTTAAGTACGAAAAATAATATTTATGGTTTTGTTTTTGAAAAGCCAAATAATATTTATGTATAATATGATATATTATTTTATGAGTTATTATTATTATTTTTTTATTTTGAGAGTTAAATATAATATTATATTTATTTATTTATTTAATATTTCGTTATATATTGTGTAATGTACGTTGCATAGCTTTGCCCAAAGTTGCAAAATGAATCGAACTTGATTTTCGAAGTAGAATTCAACCGAACTGATGGATTGGATTTCCAGAGTTTTCTTAAACACTTCCACCTCATGAATTATTGTTCTTATCTTCAAAAAATACATCATTGCTCTTTCTCATGCGGGGCATCCTGCAGTGCTAAAGGTGTATTACACTTCCACATCATGTTACCAAAAGAAAAAGTATATCATGCATCAACTAATGCCTGTGGAATCTTCTCTCTCTCCATTTCTAGATTTTCATAATTGGGGTGAAGCAAAAGCTTCTTGTGGACTTTGGACATTAGTAGACGGAGGGGTTGGAACCTTGGGATTACTCTCTCCCGCCTAACCCCACTAGAATAAAATGAAGTACTACCAACAACTATATCACATCTTGATGTAATGGGTGAGTATCTTTTGTACTCATTCGCTTAATAAAATTTTGATTTTGATTTATCAAAAACAACTATAAGACATTAACTATAAAATATATGACACAAAGTACAAAAAAAATTAATAGAAAGACTCTATCTAACTAATTTGACCTTTTTTTAATATATCAAACTTGAAAAAGTTCAAACCTGAGGAAAATAAATAGAGAACAAAAAAGCTAAAAGCATTGATAATTAATCTATATTTACATTGACACAACAAGATATTCCAAAGTGCGTGTACATTCCTACGAACGAAAAACAAAACACTTGGAGATCGCTTAGAGGAGATTTAGAATAACATCTCCTAGAAAGCTTACCATTTTCTCTCAAATACCATAGTATTCATATGAACTGTATCTCGATCTAATTGATGAGTCATTGAGACAAACATAGTTTGACGCGTGCATGCTGACTCATAATATAACTTTACTATTAGAAAGTACTTGTGATTTACTAGACACCAGGACTTACCATATCTACGAATCGCTGGTCGGATTCCTGCTTTTGTAACCTCATCTGATTATGGAACAACTTAATAAATGCTTCCGCTCGCTCCTGCAATTCTTCCCTATTGATGGACATCTTCCTCATGATATTCAGACTCACTGAATCTTCATCAGCTGCCTTCCGTGTTCTTTCCCATGTCTCACTCTTCTTCAACTGCTTTTCCTTCTTCTTCCCCTGCCCCTCCATGATCATTGTCCATGTCTCTTCAAGTGTTTTCTCCTCAGAATTATCTTCTGCCGTAGCACCGACACTGGTCTTATCAAAGTCAGACCATCCACGTTGAGACTTCTTCTGTTCTTCTTCTTCTTTTATTACTTTTTCTTTCCGGAGATTCTCTTCAGAATCCGTTACACAAGAGTCATCAGAACATGTTTCCAATGATGGAGCATCCTCCATGAATTTCTCACCAGAGTATTCTTCCATATATTCTTTAAAGATGATGTCAGGTAAAGAATTATTGTAGTTGTGGACTGGTTTCTTATAGCTTACTGTCTTGGGAAAATGGGTTTGGCTATGGAAAGCCGAAGAGGAAACGCCGATGATGGTGAGGATGATGAAGTTGAGGATGATGAGGATGTAAGGAGGAGATAGCAAGCTTCTGAATGATACCCAAAGGCATGGAAGAGAAGATAGGACGGAAAACACATATGGGATTATAGCTATTTTGAAAAAAATAAGGGTAGATATAATCCCCAGAGATAGCAGCACCAGCTTTAGTGCCCAAATTGTTGTGTGGATTCTGGTAGAGCTTTGAAACAGATCCGCCATGGCTCTGCAACTGCCTAATTGAGACTGTAAATGAATTTTGTGAACAAAAGACAACCAAAAACTTGTCTATGTTCAAAAGCTCAGTTTGGAGTTTGAATCTTTTAATGTTCTCTAGAAGGTAAGTTAAATTTTAAAGTCCCTTCTATTCAAAAACACAAGAAATGTGTACCATAGAGAAGAGAAAAGAACTATAGAGAAGAGAAAAGAGAAAACACAAGCAAGGATTGATGGCTTCAAGGGGTTTTAATAAGGGGAGAGGGTTCAAAGTCCTAGCAACTCTTTCTCCATTGATTAAATCCCAGCCATCAATTTCTAATCACCAATAGTGGGACTATTGGAAAAAAAAAAATCATTAAAACCTCAAGGAGATTCTTATTCTTGGGGAAGACCGCAAATATGTAAAGTTTAAGATTGAGTTTTGGAGCCAGCACCAAGCCGTGATGTTGAGTGTACATCTTTAAAATTATTAGGAAGGGCATACCTTAACTGTTCAAAAGGAGAAAAAAAAAGAGGGAAAAATGTTCATAGATTTCTCACTACTTAGGCCATTAGAGATAAATCAGATTAATATTAGCAATTAATCATTTTTCTTGGTTCCTTCTTCTCCTTTCATAACCCGAACCTAGAGAACGAAGAGATAAAAGGGCCTCGTGTAAGCCAATTAACTTCTTCTTCTTCTTCTTTTAATGAAATAAAAAAAAAATTAATTAAGATTAATAATGAAGGTGGTGTTTGTAATTACTATGAAATACTATGGTTTTGATTTTTTTAATATCTTATTATGAAAAAAATTATGTTATTGTTTGATAATTATTTGGAAAAAAGTCTCATACATAATATGACCATTAAATTATACAAAATATCATTTATAATTAATTTAATCATAATAAACCAATAATTTTATGAAGTGTTATGTGAAAAAATACAATTAAAAAGCAACCTAAAACACAACCTAACTAATTTGTATATATGTTAATTACATTAATTTTAAATATAATGTGATCCAAGGATGAGTTACAAATGTTTTTAAAAGAAAATTCTTTTTTATTCCCTATTTAATTTGAGGGAAAAGAAACAAATGAGAGAGAAGACCTTTATTAAACTAGAACTAAAGTGTCTCCCTTCCTATCTATCTCCTGTGAACTAAACAAATTATTAGTAAGAATATTAATTGGTATATTTTTTAATTTAATATATTTATTAAAAAATTAATATTTTTAATAAAAATTAAAGATAAATAAATTTAAAAATATAACTATACATACAATATACACAAACGAATTGAATTGATTATAATTATATTATAATTTAATAATTAAATAAAAAATATCAAAAAAAAATGTCTACCCATGGAGTTATCAATCATTTTCTTATTAATTTGAGTTTTCCTTCGGGCAGTGGTTCGGCACAGGCTTATTCAAAGAGCATTATCGCCGCTCTCATCCGGGCCTTCACTTGTCTTGTAATGACCTCTACACTGCATCTAATCCTTTTTTTAGTCCTTCTATTTGTCCCTTGCTACCTACTATCACAATACCCCTTATAATTTACCCCCTTTTATTTTTTTTAACAACAATTCGGTGTGCAAATTTCAAATTGGCTATCTATCTATTTCAAACCCAAAAGCTTCAAATTTTATAGGCCAAAGGGTGACAATCTTCCTACTTAAACATTTGCCCTAAGAGCTAAGGGACAAAAAGTTCTAATTAGGGTCGTGAGGTTGGAAAATAGATAGAAACTTAGGTCATTTTTTTTGGTATAATTAACGCTATCCACTTAAAAGCAGCAATTCACTCATCAAGTTCTTGGTTGAGTGGAGGATTGCTTTATTTGTGATGATGCATCATGAGTTCTGTTCACTTTATGTGCATGTGCTGTATGCTATATCTATTTGTTAACATGTTAAAATAATCCTTATAATGATATTAATAAACTTTTTTCTTTTATTGATTTTTTTTCTTTGTTAATAGAGTAAGATGTTTTAAATTCAATTTTTACATATTTTGAAATTAATTTATCTTAATGATCTTAAGATTATATTTGTAATGTTGATTTAATACATTTAAAAAAATTAATTTTAAATTTAAAATTATTTATAAAATAATATTTATTTATTAATAAGTTTAACCTTTTTAGATTTTTGCCTTTTATTGAATAAAAAAAAAGAAAGCTAAGTCACCAAGAATTACACAAGATATTAGTTTAGATGATATCTCCTCTTCCATTGCCTATTTTCCCAAAAAAAAAAGAGGGAGATGGTATCTCCTCTATAATTGTACCAGAGTCAGCACCTAAAAGTCTAATGGTCTATTCTCAGGGATAAAAAACGAAAATCACCAGGGGGGCAACTTTAACGATACATAAGTGATGCTTTATTTTCTTTCTCCTCTCTCCTTGTTGCATGTAATTTCTCTTAGATAAAGGGTTTCCCTGTCCTTTTCTCCAGTTGGGGGCACTCATTCTTTCCAAAATTTTCAAACGCACACTACGGGAAAAATATTTTATTTATTTAACTTTTATATTCAAAAGGAAAAATATTTTAGGAGATATTTTTTGGGCAGATAATATACTTAATTGGTAGGATGATATTTGTCGTTGCTATGGTGGCATGGGGTCTGTTTTGTCTGACCCTTGGGAGCAATCACCCACTCTAACCCCTACTTGCTTCGCTTTATCAAATCAATCATATTCCCCTAAGCCCCAAGTGGTTAATCCAATAATCGAATACTAATTATTTATTTTAAGATTAAAAAACAATTAGTATATATTTAATTTAATATATTTTT